TTTTATTGACAACTGCTTGAGAAAACTTTGAGTTTATGTCTTGAATACTAAAGACCAAGTATTAGGTGTCTTCGAGCAGTTTCAGGCCTCAGTTGGAAGAGAAACTGGAAAGGAATTGAAATGTATTCGTATTGATAATGGTGGTGAATATTGTGGACCATTTGATGAATACTGCAAGCATCAAGGTATTAGACACCAGAAGACTCCTCCTAAGACTCCTCAGCTTAATGGTTTAGCTAAGAGCATGAACAGGACCTTGATGGAAAGAGTTAGATGTTTGATTTCTGAAGCAAAGTTGCCGAACTCATTTTGGGGTGAGGCTTTATTGACCGTTGCACATGTTATTAATCTATCTCCTACTATTGCTTTACAAAGTGATGTTCCAAATAGAGTTTGGTATGGAAAAGATGTTTCCTATGATCATTTAAGAGTATTTGGTTGCAAAACTTTTGTACATGTGCCAAAAGTTGAGAGGTCAAAGTTAGATGCTAAGACAAGGCAGTGCATCTTCATTGGATATGGCCTTGATGAATTTGGTTACAGGCTATATGATACAATTGAGAAGAAACTTGTGAGAAGCCATGATATTATTTTTATGGAGAATCAAACTATTGAAGGTATTGACAAAGCGGAGAAGTTAGAATCTTCAAGTTTTGATGGTATAGTTCATCATGATGAAGTTCCTCACACAAGTATGCATGATGTTATTGGGCTTGATAATAATGGTGATGCCCAGAATCATGTATCGAATCAACACATTGAGGTTGATAATAACAATGATGTTGTTATTGATGATCCTCTTGCTCATGAAGTTGTGGACGAATCAAATATTCTGCTTAGGAGGTCCACAAGACAGTGGGTTCCTTCCTCTTGTTATTCACCCAATGAGTATGTATTACTCACTGACGGGGGAGAACTTGAATGTTATGAGGAGGCCATGGAAGATGAGCACAAGGATCAATGGATTGAAGCCATGCAAGATGAGATGAAGTCTCTGCATGAGAATCACACTTATGAGTTGGTAAAATTGTCCAAGGGCATGAGAGCTTTAAAGAACAAGTGGGTGTTCAAAGTTAAAGTTGAAGAACACAACTTGAAGCCCAGATACAAAGCTAGATTGGTTGTTAAGGGATTTGGTCAAAGGAAAGGTATTGACTTTGACAAAATATTTTCTCCTATCGTAAAAATGCCCTCGATTCGTACAGTTCTAGGTTTAGCTGCTAGTCTTAATTTAGAGATTGAGAAGATGGATGTGAAGACGGCTTTCCTTCACAGTGACCTAGAATAAGAAATTTATATGGAACAGCTTCAAAGTAGAAGGTAAAGAAAATTTTGTGTGCAAACTCAGAAAGAGTCTTTATGGCTTAAAGCAAGCTCCAAGACAGTGGTACAAGAAGTTTGAATCTATTATTGGGGAGCAAGGATATAAGAAGACTTCTTCAGATCATTGTGTATTTGTACAACAATTTTCTGACGATTGATTTTATCATCCTCTTGCTGTTGTGGATGATATGTTGATTGTGGGCAAGAATACTTCCAAGATTGACGAGTTGAAGAAAGAGTTGCGTAAGTCTTTTGCTATGAAAGACTTGGGTCATGCCAAGCAAATTTTGGGCATGAGAATTACTCGTCTCAGAGATGAAAGAAAGATTTATTTGTCATAGAAGAAGTACATTAAACGTGTACTAGAGCACTTCAATATGAAGAATGCTAAGCCTGTTATTACACCTCTTGCTGGTCATATGAAGTTGAGCAAGAAGATGTGTCCTACAGCTAGGGAGGAAAAAGAGAGCATGGCCAAAGTTCCATATTCCTCTGTTGTCGGAAGTCTAATGTATACAGTGGTATGTACTAGACCTGATATTGCTCACGCAGTTGGTGTTGTCAGCAGATTTCTGGACAATCCAGGAAAAGAGCATTGGGAAGTTGTGAAGTGGATACTCAGGTATCTTAGAGGAAGCTCAGATGAATGCTTGTGTTTGGGAGCATCAAATCCAATCTTGAAGGGCTATACAGATTGCAGGTGACCTTGATAACAGAAAATCCATTACTGGATATTTGTTTATTTTTTCAGGGGAAGCTATATCATGGCAATCGAAGTTGCAGAAGTGTGTTGCACTATCTACAACTGAAGCTGAGTATATTGCGGCTACTGAAGCCAACAAGGAGATGATATGGCTAAAGTGATTTCTTCAAGAGCTTGGTTTGCATCAGATGGAGTATATTGTCTATTGTGACAACCAGAGTGCAATAGACTTGAGCAAGAACTCCATGTACCATGCAAGGATAAAACACATCGACGTCAGATATCATTGGATTCGTGAGGAAGTGGAGAGTGAACCATTTCGTCAAAAAGATCCACACAAGTGAAAATCCTGCAGATATGTTGAACAAAACGATATTGAAAGACAAGTTTGAGTTATGCAAAGAACTTGTGGGTATGAGCTCTCTCTAACGAAGAGGAAGATACCTCCTTCTAGTGCATGGGACTGGAGGGGGAGATTTGTGAGGTCCATCCCATGTTCTTTATATTAGTCAATTTTTGCTATTCAAGTGCTACAAGTAATTGTTAAAAAGGAATAGTGATAAGAGTTGGAAAAAAAATTGGTGGTTGGCAAATTGATAAGATTTGCAACCCTTTGGACTTGGCTACATTTGCTTATGTCATTAGTGACATAGGCATGATTTTTCCCTTCTATAATAGAGCATTCTTGCTCATTTGTAGAACACACCAAGTTAGAGAGAAAATATATATTTTGAGAGCAAAGTGAAGTATTCCATAGACTATACAAGAAAAATAGTCTGCGAAGAAAAATAGAGTGTGAGCGATATTTTAGTAAGGTGTAAATTAAAAGAGTGTTATTTCTTTTGAGTGTGTTGTAGTCACTTTGAATATTGTATTCGTGACTACACAGTGTAAAAATTTCTTGCTATAGTGATATCAGTTGCTCATCTTGGCCCGTGGTTTTTTTCCTTATTTAAAAGGGTTTCCACGTAAAATTCTTGGTGTCATTATTTTCCCATTTTATTTTCATTATTTTGACCATATATATTTTTGTGTTAGTCCGCGTTTTCTCAACATAACTGTTGTGTTCTTTTTTTAGGATGAGCTATAGACAGATAGATAGACTCTTTAGCAGTGACAATTTTATCTCCGGATTGATTGTCACCATCTTGGTCTCCCCCTCCTAAAAACAACGAGCTTCCCTTTTAATTTGGACTTAACCATTTATGAGTGAGAGTAAGTGCATGTTGATAAAAATTTAGAATTGGAAAATAACATTGGTCATGCGAAGGTGACGATAAAAATTTAGAATTGGAAAGGACATAGAAAACTCACAATTTTGAAGAACCACGTTACAAGGCAAGATATTTTTTCAAACCCTAACACAGAACAAATGAATGTGGCAACTGCAATCAAAATGAACTCACATTAAAAGAATCTATGAAGATTCGCAATAAAATTTCATTTTGTGTTGAGTTATTAAAAGTCAACCAAATATTTGAGCAACACTTGAGGGAATGGTAGAAGAAAACTATATCAAGGAATAAAATTTGTAGTTGATAATATATAAACCATAAAAGAAAGTGATCAACTAGCAATACTATTACACTCATTCATTAAAAGGGTTCTTAACATATGTGTGACAATGTAAACTTTATATAGAAAGGTTCTTACATTAGTTTTATGTCATTAACGACCACACGAAGCACGAAAAAATTACCTAGTATATATATGTATAATAGAGAACCCTCAACCCGGTGAGGCGGAGCTCTCTAAGGGCTATAACACAATTTATTTGTTTTCTATTTTTAACTTCATATATACAGAAGGCCAAAAGTTATGACTTTACTAAACAGTCATCACTTTTGGAAAAAAAAAACAATTGTTTTCTAATCCCTAAAACGTTTCAATGATTCCTCCTTCCCAAAATACAGTTGTTCCTTGTGGTTTTGGACACTTGAAAAGTATCTTATCAGTTAGCCTATGTTGCTCAAGTTGAGTCTAAACATTACTCCCTCTGTTTCTTTTTATATGTCATCCTTTTTTATAAATAGTTGAACTTGTCATTTTATAAAATCAATGCATAAATTATCATATTATTCCTTTTTTACCCTTGTGAGTTATTAGCCTTGAAAATATATATTTGACCAACTTAGAAAAATTAAGTAAATGATTCATGTTCATTGGTTAAATTAATTAATCAAATTCATTGATTGAAAACTTGAGTTCCAAAAAAATTAAATAGGAATAGAATAGTAAACTTACTTAGTTTCTTAATGCACCTGAAATCCAAAATGGCAACATATAAATAGGAACGGAGGAAGTAGATATATGTGTGTGTTACCATTTTAACAAATAAAAATGAGGGTATAACTTTTTTTTTGTCTTCTGCTTCCTGATACTGTTATACATTAAAAAGGATTTATTTTATTTCTAAACATGATACCATCTACATTTTCTAAAATAACTATTTGCAATTTAGTTTTCTACATTACTAATAATGGACTATTTTACTGACACTAAGAATGATATGTATAAAAATATAATTCAAGTCTACCTTGGTATGTTATATTATTTATCGTACCTTCACATCATCATAATATTCAGTCAAGAGTCGCTATAATAATTTTGAAAGGAAATGTTAGAAAAAAAAATTGAAAAATTATATTAAGTTATAAAAACATAAAATTGACATTAAATAAGAAACATCAATTATAATAGTCAAATTAATCTCACAACATATTGTTAAGTTTTTGCTCTAGTCTTTACAATTAAGAGCCCTTGTCCCAAAATATAAACGTAGGGCAAAACCTCCCTTCGAATAATTCAAGCGTAAATAGAAGATATTACGTTTCGTCACACACTTGTTTGGATACTATCTCCCTTTCTATTTACATTCATTTCCACAAAATTTCTGCTTCTTCAATTCTTTCTCTGAAAAAACTCTCTCTCTCCACAGCCCCTCCTGTTCTGGTGTCCTTCTCCCACCAAAAAAAAAAACTTATAGAAAATAATATCTGACATGGGAGAATCTACTAAATCGCCATCATCTGCCTCGAAATATTATGGAATTTTAGAAATTCCAAAATCAGCATCCCTCAAAGATATTTGCAAAGCGTACAAACATCTTGTTAAGAAATGGCATCCTGATAGAAATAAATCCAATCAAGCTGAAGCTGTAGACAAGTTTCGATCCATCAATGAAGCTTATAGGGTATGTACATGCATAACTTGTCATATACTATTATTATTTAATTATCATTTATCAATCCATGTTATGAGCGTAATATTTTTGAACTAAAACATTCAAAATTTAAAATTTAAAAATATAAATATAGTAGGTTGTTAGAATTTTAAAATATACTTAACTTGTTTACAAATGTGATTCCAGGTTCTTAGCAAGAAAAAGAGAGAGGAAGCAGACTTATTTAAAAGTGATGCAGCAAAAACACCTAAAAAAAACTCAAGAGATGAGGAGGAGGATGAGTTACAAATTTCAAGTCCCACACTCCTTTCAAGAACAACGAGTCGAATCAGCCCAACAGTAGATTTTTACACGTCCATGCCAGCATGTTTTACGATGAGTGGAACCAACACTCCCACAACCCCTGGCACCCCTGTATCAGATCAACCTCCAAATTACCTTTCCAAAGTTGCGAGCAAGCCCATCATTTTTTCTCAGTCTACTTCTCGGAGAAAGCCTCAACCAATTGAGAAGAAATTGGAATGTACACTTGAGGAATTGTGCAATGGATGCGTCAAGAAGGTCATAATAACAAGAGATGTCGTTGCAACAACAGGGTACATATATTATATTCTACATTTTTGTTTCCTTTCAGATGAAATTAAAATTTCAATTTTGTTCCTTTGAGGATCAATAAGCATTATGAACTAATAATAACTCCAGAGGTGGACCCACACCTTTAGGAGCGGGGTACATGTGTACTCGCTAACTTAAAAAAAAATCATATGTATATCTATTTTGAGAATCTGACAAAAACTAAGATATAGTAAGCAGTGCACCCATAAAAAGCATAAGAGAAACCACCCTTGAGACCAGGGTTCAAATCCATATATAAAACCATGAGCTAGGGTAATCCTGGGTTCGCCTCTCTATAACACTAAATGATATTTTGTAACTTGCAGGCTAATTGTTAAAGAGGAAGAAGTCGTAACGATAATGGTGAAGCCAGGATGGAAGAGAGGAACAAAAATTACTTTTGAAGGTAAAGGGGATGAGAGAGCAGGAGATATAATATTCTCAATTGATGAGAAAACACATCCACTATACAAAAGAGAAGGAGATGACTTACTTCTTGGAGTTGAAGTCCCTCTAGTACAAGCTCTCACAGGGTGTACAATCACTGTACCTCTTTTGGCCGGAGACGAAGTAATGACTATGTCATTTGATGATGAAATCATTCATCCAGGATTTGAGAAAATCATACCAGGCCAAGGCATGCCTAAACCTAAACAGGAAAGTACAAATAGAGGAGACCTTGTACTTCAGTTTCTTATCCAATTTCCTTTAGAATTGAGTGAGGAACAAAAGTCTGAGGCTGTTAGTATACTTGAGAATCATTCATAGTTTTCGGGTTCTTCTTTATAATTATGTAAATTGCTTGTATTCTTAGAACTTTTTAATGGAGTTTTTGTGTGTTACAAGTGAAAATCAAATGTCATGTTTTCCATTACAAAAATTTACTTAAAAGGAGAAAAAGTTAGTGTTGTTAGTAAAAAAGGATACTCTTCCTTCTAGAAAAGTTTACTCTTAACAATACTCAAGTAGTGTAACGTGTCTAAAGTCTATCACTGGGCTCGAGGATAATTCGTGTCATACTGAAAGTCATTGTTAGTATGCATTGACTAGAAAAAGGGATTGGACCAAGAGAAGAAGGTACTCTAAATGTTGTATGAACCTTGCATTATTGAAATGCTAGTGGTCTAGGATACACCAAGGGAGCATGTTGCAAATTTGCACATAATAATAGGTACCATTCTAGCATCCATATGGCATTGAATGTTGAGAACAAAAGATGTAGCCTCCATTAAACTGTTGTCGAGGAATCATAATGTTGAAGAATTCACTTGGGAATCTGAACACTCTATGAGTTCCAAATATGCACACTTGCTTCAAGAGCATATAGAAGGTTTATTTATCTATCTATCTATCTGATTTACATCTGTTGTTGATCTTGTATTTCTAAAATACTTGGAACAAAAACTTTGAAAAACTTGGTAAGAAATAACAAAGTTTAAAGAGTATTTTCAATACTAGAAAATTAAAACCAGTAGAGAAAATAGAATCAGAACCAGATTAGAAACAATATACAAAATATTTTTCTCAAAGAAGAAAATTGAGCCCATTGAATGCATAGTGTTCCTTTAAGGAAATTATTCCCCTCAAGTACCAAAGGTTAATGGAATATATCCTCCCAAGATAGAACAATCTTACTCACCGGTGTATCGGTACCTATACCCACGGTGTCAGCGAACCACTCAACGGCAGTAAAGTACATACACTTAGAATACTAGATTTAGTATAGAAGAGAAGTCCAGAAAACTAGTTGTTTTATAATGAGAGGTAATCCTTCTATTTATAGACAGCAAAAGGTAGTGTGAATAGATATTTATTGTGCTTTATCGAAAGGTCAACCCTTCGGAAAGGTCACAACCTTTCATAAAAGTCACAACTTTTCAAACCAACCTATAGGAGATCTACACCTCCTACCATAAAGAGCCTCAAATGGAGTCATACCAACACTTGAATGATAGTTATTATTATAAGCAAATTCAATCAAAGGCAAATGATCATCCTAATTACCCTTGAAGTCAATCACACAATCTCTCAACATATTTTCCAAAGTCTGAATAGTATGCTCTGCTTGCCCATCAATTTTAGGATGTACTAAGCTTGACACGAGTACCATAATGGATAGGGGCACTCCATGCAACTTAATCATCTCCGTTAGATTCAACTTAGCATAAGCTTTCACCAAATAAAAAATTGAGGATCTGTTGTATTGCGGCTAATACATGTCTAATAATGCCCTAAAAACTTATTTTCTTATCAAATATAGATATTCTATTAAAGAGTATATGCTTTAATTTGTGATACTGCAGAAATAAGGTGATGAAATTTTTTTGTTCCCACTTTTAGTAATATATGATGATATATGATATATGATATGATATGAGGATTCATAGGAGGGAACAAATCAAAAAGGATTTCTATGAAACAGGTAAGGAGATATGAAAAGGCCTTAGGTTAAAAAGTCAACAATGAAAAATGTTTCTTTGTCACGGCTAAAAAAAATCCACAAGCACGATCAATAGGATGAGAAAAGCTTCAAGTTTTATCAACAAACAATTCCCTTTTACTGTGGATCTCTCTGGAGCTATCATAAATTATCTAGCCTAATTATGTTGATGATAATGTTATATTCATTGGAGGGAACAACAAATCAATCGGGATTACTATGAAGCAGGAGATATGAAAAAGCTTCAGATCAAAAAGTCAACAACGAAAAAAGTTTCTTTGTCACTGCTAAAAAAACTTCATAAGCAGGATCAACAGGATGAGAAAAGCTTCAAATTCATTTACAATATTAATATTGGGAACCAAGATTCTTGGAATACAATTAGAGCTCATAATAAATAAAAAATGACTTTTTGAGTAAGGTTTGGCACTCTAAAATTCTTTCAAAATATCCTCTCTCACTTGGAGGCTTCTTCAAAAGAAACTCCCTTTCTATGACACTATGGACATGTTTGGTACTAACCATTTTATTGAGTGTGATTGTTCTAGATTAGCACAGACATATACTATACACCATATTTTTATTGACAGTGATGTAGCCAACAAATCATGGAGCAGAGTAGGCGATCCATTAGGAATTTGACATCAAAAGGACTCGATCATCACAATTTTCAATAGATGGTGGAGGATACAACCTTGCAACAAAATTCGTGGAATGATCCTTCAAATTGCTCCTATTTATATAGGCTGGGAAATTTTGAAACTGATCGAGGACATCACGTAGATATGTTAAAACAAAGAAACTTTCAATAAAACAGAATGAAACATTAAGGACTTTGGGAAATTAAATTTGTTGTTTCTAGACTCTATGACAAGCTTGACTTCAATTTCAAATGGTACGACTTGTGTACAGTGATCAAGAAATTAAGACCTATCAAATTAACTGTAAAACAAGTTCGATTGTGAGAATGGGGAAGCAGGCATTGGAGGGATAGTTAGAGACAAAAATGGTTATGTTATGATGGTTTTTTCTATACATGTTCAATGTAACAGTAACAATATGGTTGAAGCTCTTGTGGCGGAGTTTGGAGGAAAATGATGCAGTCAAAATGGACACACTGATTTTGATCTTGACCTTTAATTCTGGTAATTGTTAATATGTTGATCAAAAAGCATACTACCAACCTCAGGCTTAAACAGATTATTGAGCAAACCATCAAGATTATGGAACATTGCAATGTTAGAATCAACCATATTTTGAGGGTAGCAGACTGTTTGGTTACGCTAGCTTCAGAAACTGGATAACATACGTACTTCAACAATTTTCAGCAGCTCCGATCCCTAGACATGTTAAGGGACCATATCAACTTGATAAATGGAAACTTCCTAGTTTAAGAACTAGTATGTATGATAAAGCTAATTTTTTTGTTAGTTGATGTAAATGTGGATGTAGAAGGAGTGAGAGTATGTTTTTGTAGACAATTTATCTCTAGAGAATTCAGAAAAAAATGTCTGGTTAATATATTGCATGAAAGAAAGGGATGCTAGAGGTGAAAAGGAGTGTCATATGTTGGGCTTTGAAAAGGAATTATCACATTTGGTTCTAATGCCTAAAAATAAAGATTTTAAATTATTCTAGTCATCATTTTTTATTGACCAATAAAAGTTTCTAAATTATATTGCGGTCTCTAATTAGCCAAATGATTTAGAAGTTAAACATATAAAAGTAGTAATGCCTATTATTGTTAAGAGTGTAGATTAAGTGATTAGTTCCCTCATTTTAGGAGGAATATGAGGACGCAAAGACGACTCTTTGTTTACTTGTAAAAACTATTATCATGCGCCAATTTTTCCCTTTGCTTTGAGAATCCTCTCCCTGCCATTCTCCTAAAGGTATAATCTTCTTTCTTTTCTCCTTTCTCTCTAAGCTAATTTCTTCCCCTTTCTCTATCTCACATAAATATATTCCATACCTTTTACAATAATAACATCTTTTCATACATTCATGATTCACATACATGTTTATACAGAGAACAATATTATATGTGTTATGTTGTTCTTAAAATAATTTTAAAAAAATCTTTTCTTTTGTTGTAAAAGTTTCTTATTTTGATCTTTAATGAACAGGGTTCATTGTTTGGGAGAACGGCAGGGTTTAAACGACGTGTTTTGACATAAAGTGTGATCATCAAGACTTTATAAAAATGTCTTCATCATCTAAGGATGATCAATCATCCAATACACCATCATCGGATTCTTCATCATCTTCTTCGAATTCTCCACCGTCTGGCTCATCCTCAAATTCTTCGCCATCCCAAGACAATTCATCTTCATCCAATGATTCAAAATCCCAATCTCCTCCTCAAAGTAATTCATCATCTTCTCCGCCATCAGGGGATAATAATAACTCGTCTCCTTCCGGTGGTAACAACAACAATAATGACAATAACAACGACAACAAGGACAACAACAACAATAATGGTAACAACAACAACAACAATGATGGTAACAACAACAACAATGGTAACAATGATAACGACAACAATAACAATAAGAATGACAATAACAACAATAATGGTGGGAACAATAACAACAACAACAACAATGGTGGTAACAATAACAATAACAACAACAACAATGGTGGTAACAACAATAATGGTAACAAATCTTCACCACCAGGAAAATCGTCAAATTCAAATGGAGGTTCATCACCTCCTCCACCCCCACCACCACCACCTCCTCCACCACCTCCTCCTTCTCCTTTTTCTCCCAACTCCGGGTTTCTTTCTCCTCCAAAGCATAAGCCACCACCAAGCAAGTCCTTAGATAATAATAATAACAACAAGCCTAATGATAACGGGACAGCCATCATTGTAGGAGTTGCTGCTGCAGGAGGTCTATTACTTCTTGTCATGTTAGTTTTCCTTATATCATGTTGTAAACGCAAAAGGAGAAGGCCACGCGACCAAATGGGCTACTACAGGGACAATTCTCATGGAGGCAATAGTATGTTCTTTCTTCTCTTAACTTATACTGTATGTTTTATGTTGAGCATACTGTTTTCAAATAGAATTAGCTTCAAATGCAGTAGCTATGAAGAGAACTGGTAAATGTGCAGAGTACTGAATATGTTTAGGTTTAAATAGTGTTAGTATTGAGAATGTATATATGGTGCAGGTACTGACTACTATAACAGTGGACCATATGGGAATTGGCACAACAACAACAATATTCAATCAACGGATCATATGGTGAAAATGCCTAATCCTCAAGCACCGAGTACTAACGTAAGTTCAGAACTGAGTTGGCCAATAGCACCTCCACCACCACCACCAATGATGAGTAGCAGTGAATTAAGCTCAGCTGCTTTCTCTGGTCCGCAACAACCTCCATTGCCACCCCCACACCCATCAATGGCTCTTGGTTTTAACCAAAGTAGTTTTACATACGATGACTTATCTACCGCAACTGGAGGATTTGTTAAGTCTAATCTATTGGGACAAGGTGGTTTTGGCTTTGTACATAAAGGGGTCTTGCCTAATGGTAAGGATATAGCTGTCAAAAGTCTAAAAGCTAATAGTGGACAAGGTGAACGAGAATTTCAAGCTGAAGTTGAAATTATTAGTCGTGTACATCATCGACATCTTGTCTCTTTAGTCGGTTATTGCATTGCTGGATCTCAAAGGTTGTTGGTATATGAGTTTGTTCCTAATGGCACTCTTGAGTATCACCTTCATGGTATTAACTTAATTTCCTTTTTTTTATATCTAAATACTCATTCTACATATGTCGTATTTAACTCATCGATCCCTTATTTAATTAGGAACTGGTCGCCCTGTTATGGACTTCCCTACTAGGCTTAAAATTGCATTAGGATCTGCCAAAGGCTTCGCGTACCTTCATGAAGATTGTAAGTTCATATATACTATTCTCATTTAAGCACTTGTCTATATATTCTCATAAAAAATTAAACTTCTATTTCATATATAAATTACAGGCCACCCTCGTATTATTCACAGAGACATTAAAGCTGCTAATATTTTACTGGACCATAACTGTGAAGCTAAGGTATTTGGTAAAAATAGTTGAAACATTGATTCCTCATTCAGATTTCTAACAAATTTTATTATTACTCCCTTTGTAAGGTTGCTGATTTTGGATTAGCTAAACTTTCCAACGACACTAATACACATGTTTCTACGCGTATCATGGGCACTTTTGGGTGAGTTTAGTTTGATAATTCTTCAAATATCCAATGGATTTGCATTAATCGAAAGAGTATATTTATTTGTGTAGGTACTTAGCACCAGAATACGCTTCAAGTGGCAAGCTAACTGAAAAGTCTGACGTCTATTCTTATGGTGTTATGCTGTTGGAACTTATAACTGGGCGTCGTCCTATAGACATCAGCAGTGATGATGATACTTTAGTGGAATGGGTATACCATGATGATTACTTTACATCTTCAAAATTAATTCAGTAGGACATCGATCAGATTATATGTATATATATGTGCAGGCTAGGCCAATTCTGATTCGTGCAACAGAGGGTGGAAACTACGATGAATTAATAGATCCACGTTTGGAAGGAAATTTTGATGCCCAAGAGATGCTATGTATGGTAGCTTGTGCTGCTGCATCCATCAGACATTCAGCAAGAAGACGTCCCAAAATGAGTCAGGTTAATTTCTTCTTAATATTCGTCAAAAGCTTTTCCTAATTCACAATTTTAAAAAGTATAGTGGTCCAGCGATTGACATATATATATGTTGTAGATTGTACGTGCTTTAGAAGGTGATGTGTCTCTGGATGATTTAAATGAGGGAATGAAGAAGTCCCCGAGTACTGCAATGTTTGGTTCTAGTGAAAGTTCTGAATACGATGGAGGTTCATATGACCTTAAGAAATTCAAGAAATCTGGAATGTCGAGTCAAGAATTCACAAGCAGTGAACATGGTACCGGTGAATTTGTCCATTCCGGTGGTGAATCTCAAGAACATGGGCAGAAAAGGCACACCCCTTAAGGAAAATGGATCATACCTTCAACTTCTGATGGATCTATAAGTAATAATTACACACATTTGTTGGGCTTACAAGGATGCTTTAGGCATTAAAAACTAGTTTTATGGGGGAAATATAATTATGTATTTAAACAACAATTGTGAAGCTTTATTAGAGATTTGAATGCGGGTTGTAAAGAGTATCACATCCTCCTAACCATTCTGTGGTTGGCTTTGGTTGTCAGTTGAATCATTTAGTTTTGTTCGACTTTGGAAGTTGGGATATATACTAATTCTGAATTGTTTTCAATATATTTCGTCAATGTATCTGCTAATTACTAATCTTTTCTTTGTTTACTTTTCATTAATTATAAAACCTATTTTTGTAGTTCTTTTATTTCACATTTTATTAATTAAACTGCTTAGACCATTTCCTTTCTATAGCTTTTGTCAAGCCCAATTATGTACCTAAACAAAGAACTAAGCGGTGTTGTAAATATGAACTGAATACAAGTGTCCTTAGCCCGAAACTTGATATACGATCCCCTCAAGGTTAGGGGCATTCAAAAGCATCTATGGTCCCTCCGAGGCATCCAGCCAATACCCTTTCAAGTGATAAAAGTCCATCACACTTTTTGATCAACTTTGCTCATGAATTCACAGTCGACGAATTCTATATTTATTGGGGAAGGTTTTAATTCTTTCCGCAACTTGGATCGCGATAGAAAACTCATTGAAAGGGGGAAGTCACAAATGAATTCTAACGGGTGATGAAGAGTTTTCTGAGCCATGATCACATCCTTTGAGGATGAGACTGAATTACAGAAAGAAGGGTGTTATTTGCTGAAGAGTTCCCTAGCTAGAGGGTCTAACTGTTTTTTAATCTGAATTATTATATAAAAATACAATGTATATCTTGCCCTTAACCTAATAGATACAATTGCTTATCATTCCCTACTACTTCTCAATTTCCATCAAGTGTTGTCTTATTTCCCAAGCCACTAATTAATCCTCCTTTTCGAAGTTCTCATAGATATTTCTATTATCGAGAAGCCTACAAAAGTAAGAATGGAAAGAAGAAAAGAAAACTCCACAGGTTGGCTTACTCGTGTGTCCAAGGGACAAATCCTATTAGAAATGGATGGTGTGAGCTTTTCAAATGCTTGATAAGCCGCTACATTAGCTATGCATAAACTTTGTTCATAACCAAATATGTTCACTGGTCATAAGCTTATTAATCTAACCGGAATTTGTACTTCCAATTCGATTCCACCGGATTGAAAGATCCATCAATAACTGTGATCTCTTTCTTTGAAAAGAAATTGCATAAATCCTACCTTTTTTTATCATATGCTTTCTATTGGTCAACAACAAACTCAATCAATTCATTAACCATTTTTCATGCAAAAAGTAAAATCAAAGCTATATCGAAGTTTCATAACCAAAATCATGCAAAAACAAGAAGATGCACCCCAAAACCTTATGTCATAATTGGTACTAGAGCTCCAACATAGAAACACAAGGGATAGTTAAATGGGTAAAAGAGGTTCATTCATAAAATTAAAGAAAGAAAAATGGTATTAATATTTTTTTGGGGGTATAGGTGGTTAGGGTAGGGAATGCGGGTGGGGTTAGGTGAGTTAAGGAAGAAAATCTAAAATAAAATTGAAAACATTTTTTTGTAAAGAAAGGGCTGGAAGGGGGAAGGGGCTGGAAGGTGTTGGCAAAAATGTAGGGATTCTTAACGGAATCCGAGGTTTTAGCAGTTGGAGATGAGCTTACCGGAAGTTATACAACTATGGAGGATGAAAAGATAGAAAATGAAGAATAGAATTCAATATAGGAAAGTGTACTTGTATATTCAAATGATGATTTATTATGTAATGATAGTACTATAAAAATGAGAAGGAATCTTATCTTGCTAATTGTTTCTAACTAATCCAACAGCATAACTAACTACTAATAAGGCAAAGCTAATTAACTTGATCAGTTGATTCATTTATTGTGTAACAGTACTCCCTGTTGCAAAGAGATCCTTGACCTCAAGGATCTAAATGAGGAAACAGTCAATTAATGCATATAGCATGATCTGCTGAGTTCTGCTTTAACAACTATCAGCAATTGATTCCGCAAGGTTATTCAGATGATCCTTAGTTGTAATTCTCTCGGGCATTTTCCCACCTGCTCTACCAAGGTTAAGTCTATTGCCACAATATTCATGTGTCTGTCCTGAGCTATTGAGGACTCCAAAAGATCATCCATTTTTTTTCAGAAGATATTGTGTTCATTAATATATTTAGCCGCGCTGCAACATCATCCATCGAATACTCGGAGTACTAGGTTTCCAATTCATACCCTTTTCAAGAGGTATGAATTGGAGATATGGAAGATACATTGGTCAAAGCTTCTTTCAAGAAGCTAAGTTTTCATTTCTCCAAAAACTTCACGGATACTATCAATATCTGAGTGAGGAGTCATAATTGATTGGAAAGTGGCTTTCTGCAGTCACTTCACATGTCGGGCTCGTATCCTAAATAAAGGATCAGTATAGTGAAATAACATAAACAAGTGATTGCCTCCTCTCAATATATATTCCTCCCAAAAGATGTCGAACTCATCTTTCAAGTGAAGACGTAGAAAACTGTAACGGTGAAAACGGAGTGCATCCCTTCCCCTTGAGATCACCTTTGTTCTCAAGAGTGAACAATTAACTAGATATTTGATAATTGATGACTTCTAAATGTGTAACACTGTGATAGTTCACAATGTTACATCATATGGTCATACATTCTCATCCTCAATAATATTATTTTTTTCTTGTTCCCGATTACATCCCAAGTTGCCAATGATAAAAACCATCAATCCATACTTTTATTCTTTCCTTTGCAATTAGAAAGAGTAATTTCTCAACCTCTTCATTTTGGCAGGTCTTCTTATTAATCTCCAAGTTTAACCATAAATTGCAGGAAGTCATGATCTATGAAAGAATTGTATCAACGCGAGCTTGCCATGAGAGTAGTAATTCTTTCTAATCACTATCCAAGAATTTTGTATCCATATATCACTCTTAATTCAAGAAAACCCAACCAAAATACATATTTTCAAAAGACTTGATATCACTCTCATTTTATTTTTTATAAAGAACGTATCACAAAACAAGTCTTCAAAAGCTTCAATTATATTGTTTCTTTCAATATACAGAGAATCTACATCTAAATATTTTTTAGACATTTCATAGAGAACCTTGCAAGTATATGATTTCTTGTGGGTAGAAATGAGAAAGATTAGAGAATTAAAAACTAACCAGCTTCTTTGGGGAATGTGCCACCGAATCTTTCCACTAACGCTACCACATATTCATTCCAAGTTGGTGGTAGAATGTACTACATTTATTTCATAAAGGATAAATGTCATCAACAATTTCACCTTCTAACTGTAGAGCATTAATGCTAATCTTCTCCTCCATGGGAATGCTATCCACATTGCAAGATCTGAGATCTTCTCCAGAAAACTTTAAAAACTCTATTGTTGACCCTCTAGGGTAATGCAAGTTATGATTACTGAAGTTGTTGTGTGATTGCTGCTCTGACTGCCTTCGACCCACTGGTGTCTATCTCCTCTTGTGGATTTTATCTCTCTAATTCGCTCCATTGGTTGTCATTTGTTCCTTAATCTCTAGCACCACTTCATCCAATTTTTTAAGATTTCAAACTTTCTTTGCCAGAGTACCAATTTCCAATAACATTTTTTTCATCATTTCACACAATTCCCTTACTTCACTAGAATAACTCTCTTTGCTTTTGCTCATTTTGTCATTGTTGTTGAGGACAGATTGACTTTGATACTTAGCCAAAATGGAGGGATTCTCAAAGGAGTCTGAGGTTTTAGCAGCTGGACATGAGCTTAGCGGAGAAGCTCGAGTTATTCAGCTATGATTGATTAAAAGATAGAAGATGAAATATACATTTAAATAGGAAAGTGTACTTGTATATTTTATTGATGATTCAATCTGTAATGATATAATGTCTTATATAGAAATAAAAAGAAATCTTATCTTGTTAACTACTTCTAACTAATCTAACAACGTAACTAACTACTGATATGACAAAGCTAACTAACTTGACCATCTGATTCATTTATCATGCAACAGAACGGGGCTGATAGGGGGGTTGGGGTAAAATTCTTTTTTTTTTAATTTTTTTTTTTATAATAAACAAATTGTTGTTTTTCCCATTTTCTTTTGGGATAGGGGCGGGGCCGGGGGTATCATGGCAGGGGTAGTAAAAATTAGTTTAATTTGTTAAAAAATATCAGTATTTTTTAGGCGTGAAGGTGGGGATTGGAGGGTTGGGGGTGATAAAAAATATATTATTTAAAAATTAAAAAAACAAATTTAAAAAGTTTCAATTATTTTTGTGGAGGTGGTGGGTGAGGAGTGAGGAGTGTTAATAAAAAAATTGCTAGCTTTTAGCAGGGTCTCGATGGATTTTTGAAAAAATTGAGTTAACCCATATAATTGTACTCCGTAGAATCGATTATTAATTATCGAATAGTACCAAATAAGTTTAGGAAATTTTTCAAAAATATACTGCTATTGAAAATATTTACGTTATGTAATTCAATATATAATATTATACAACATTAATGAATCAATCTTGTATAAAGTATATATTATTAGAGTATATAAAAGGTGTTTATACACAAAAAAGAATTAAATCATATGTTGTACACAAACCATGAATTACGTGGCGTAAATATTTTTAAAAATAGACATAAAAGGTTGCTTTCCCAAAAATTTATGTGTAAGATATATATTTTATATGTTAAATTTTAAAATAATGAAACATTAATTTTTGGAAAATTTGGCCAACTGATACTTACCAATGAAAGTTCCAACTTCGAGACTTATTATGTTAACTCTCCTATTGAAACTAAATTAATTTTAGTATCTTGAATAGTAAGCTATAAGGTGTTTAACGATGACTAGCAACTTACAAGTTATTAGCCCTCTATCTTTCCTCTCATATTATTTAAAGGAAAAATTGTATAAAATAGTAAATTATTAATTCAAATTAAATGTTATAACTATAGTTTAATTTAATTGTAATCCATAGCAAATTGTTGCCATTTCTCCTCTCTCC